CGCGGTCCGAACGGAAAGTATAGTGTCAGTCACCGGTGACTGACATGGCGCTTAACGTGTTAAGGAGCGATAGTTCTTTGAATGTTTTAAAAAAAATGATCAAGTTCATTGAAATTATTTCTGAATTTCTATTTGTATAATATAAAATATTGATGGAAAAAATATAGCGAGATTGTAAGTTAAGGCATTTAAGCAACGGCATCGATTGGTCAACGTATCAAGTACCGGTATCTTACGTTTTTCAATTTGGATTAAATTGTATGGTATACTTCATGCGAACCTGACTGAGCTTTCGGATTCTTATCTTTTCAGGTTTCTACCGATTCGCTTGTCGACATTTTCAAACATGTAAACTTTGACGCCTGGTTGACCTTACGGTCTTGCTATATTTCTTCCACCAACTGTACATGCAATACAGTCTAACCTCGGTAATTCGTATCTCAAGGGAAACGCCAAAATCTTCGAATTATGCAGGTTTCGTCTTATCGATTCTTTCGAGTAAGAGAGGTTTAACGAACGAAAATTCAGCTCACAGAAGTTTTGTACATGGATTAGTATTTTCCGAATTACAGAGGTTTACATATTTATTACATATTTATACGTATACATATAATATATACATAACGAAAACATAAATTTTAAATAAGTAGCAGTTTGCGTTGTATCTAGGCTATTACGCGTTATTAAAAAAATCTGTAATTTTACTTCGGCCACGGTACTTCGGGTTCTACTTAGGGGCCGCGGTGATAAAACTCTGATTTATAGCGGTGAACTTCAACTTGCAGAGGTCGAGTTTCTCTGAATTCGAGTTACGGAGGTAAAATAACGCATCTGAACGTGTATCAAATAATTTGAGTTATAGGAAGTTTATATTCCGATTTGCAGAGGTTTTTATAGCGAAACAGAAGGGAACGAGCAAAATTCTATGTACTTATATAGTCTTATAGAGGTTTTCGAGTACAATTCCTATAGATTTTGGTTCGCGAAAATTGTAATTATTTCACGTTGATTTAATACTTGCCTAATTACTCAAGATTAGCAATATTCGTTTTTGGATTCTGTGAAAAATGAAGACTATAAAAATAAGATGTTCGTGTAAACAAAGAATGAGTATATCAAAATGATGTTGCTGTAAAATACTGAGACAAAAACAGTGGATAAGATAAGATCATGAAAGTATTTTGTAGTAGCACAATAATTAGAACAGCCATTTTTATGATACAATATTTCAAAAATGGTTAGAACAGATAAAGCAGTGTTGATAAGCAATGAGATATTCAGTGCGAAACAGGTAGTATGAAGTACAAACAGAAATCGCTAGCATCTCACAGTGGCAAGTGAAAATTAATTTTAGATTTGTTAAAGTACTTTTGTAGTGCATAGTTTTCGGATACTCTAGTTACTGTTCGAGTGGAAAAATGAAATATTTCAGCAGTTTCGCTTAAATGGAAAATTTTTCTATAAATTCCATACATGCCTGAAGACTAACGAAACATTAAGTTAAAGATGATTATTGTGCATCACATCGGATTATAAAAGGATTAAAACTGAATAAGTTTAGGTTTCTTAAGACCTCTGAGGTCTACGGGAGTAAAACATTGATTTGCTTCAAATGTAATTTTAAACATATTTTTCTATTACAGTTTTGGAAGTGACGTGGTGTAAAGTTGCTTAACAAAAATATATTTATTTGTTTAACCGGTAACGCTTAAACTAATTTTAAAATGTATAGGCGACACGATGCACGTAGAAAGAAAGTCTACGATAAAAAGCCTCGTGCCTTTTTCGGGGCTCCCTTAAGTAGCCCCTTTTCCCTGGGAAAGTCCCAGGAAGTGGTGGCGCAGGCAATACTCTTGTCCTCGAGGACGAAGAATCGAGAGATGTTTTTCCAAAATTCGCCTCGAGGGCCAAGAGTCGCCAGGCCTAAGTGGTATTTGGCCACTTGAGGTATTTGGGTCAAAAAGGACCCAGAGGACCCCTACGCGTACCAATTTCTGTTACCAGCGCGCCATGTGAACCTAAACAACAAGCGTTTAATATAATGTTAACACTAGAACTACCGACCGGGTCAAAATGACCCATTAGCATCTTTCGAAAAAACGCGAATGTTCTATATTGGTAAGTATCATCGCTTGGAACTTTCCGAATTTATATTCTACATGTATGCTTCCATTTGTATCGGTACGAATCGAATTTTCCAATCACGGTTTACTTACATAAAACTTCACTTCCGGAAAGTCGCTAATGGGTCATTTTGACTCGGCTGGTCGTTCTAGTGTCAAGGGAACATAAATTTGATAACAGCAAAAGTTATTAGGAAAATAAGAAGGCGATGGGTCGAAAAAGACCCGAAGGCGCATAAGGCGCAAGCTGGGGCACTTGAAACCCTCACAAACAACGACATAAAAAGCAGCATGTCTATAGTTACAAAATGAAATACTTATTTTCAATAAAATTGAAAAAAAAAATGCGCGTAGGGCCTCTAAAAGTACAAATGCGGCCTTGTTCACAGATGTAAATAAAACTTTGCTTTAAAAAATGTTTAAAATTACCTTCAATGGAAAACAGCTAATCTTCTATTCCAAAGAACTTAAACCACCAAGTTTTTAAAGCTCTTGTCAAATTTTTCAATGTATGCACGAAATTAAATGTATCGCAGGTATACATTGCGTGCGTGCCACCGCGTGCAGCAGTTTTGTTCCTCGTGAATGAAGATCTCCTGACCAACGGGTGTAGTATATTTAATTGACTGTTAAGGAACACGACTTAATTCCCAGAAACGCAACGTCCCGATGGAGGAGCTAATTTGAATACACGAAACAAATTCTTTGTATGCTGTTTAATTTTCCACTCGTCTCGTGTTTTGTCACGCATGTGCTTTCACACAATGCACATGTAAATCAAAATGCACACGTTCATGGAATCACGCGTGCTCTCTTTAACACGAACGGGAATTATACACATTAGGCGTAAGTACAGGAATTTTTGTGAAGTTGAGCCGTATTATTTATTATACATACTCCGTGCCTTACGGCTTAGGAGGGCTTCCGGTTATACATGCATTGCTATTTTGCCCCTTACACTACTCACATCTTCATTTTTGTTTTTATTCCGGTTAACTTAGATTTGGACTTAAATTAAATTAAATTAACTTATAATGCGGATTATTGCACTATGCCTTCAAATAACAGCGCCTAATTTATGGGAATCTCTTTGCATTTATAATGCGGATTACTGCGCTATGCCTTCAAATAACAGCGCCTAATTTATGGGAATCTCTTTGGATTAACAGCGCGTAATTTATGGAAATATCTTTGGATTTGACTCTGAATTAGGTTCCAGTCTCTTTCTCCTTCCTCTATCTTTTCTCACTTATTACTCTCATGTACTCCAAGCCTGCCCCGTCTCCTCTCAGCAATTGTTCTTTCGTGATCTCTGCTTTCGTTACCTTACATCTTTTCAATATACGTTCTAGTTCCTCCCTCTCCTCACCGCACAATCTTTCTTTCTCTTCCTTCCAGTGCTCTCTGTCCTTGCATATATTCCCACATCTGAACCTTGCTATCATTTTGATAGAAGAGAGTGTATGTAAACGAAGTTAATAAATTGCGAAGACGAAAATTCAAATGGATAGTTTAATTCCTTTAACTTTTACAGATGAACGTGTATTTATTATAGTTATTAACCCTTTGTAATCGAGTGGTGACTGAAAAGCGACATTAAACAATCGTCACTTGGTGAATAATTAATCAAGCCAGAGAGCAGACCTATGGGGCCTCTATAAATTTGTTCATTATAGTGAAATAGAGAATACGTTGAATATTTAAGTAAAATAGTATAGTTTATTACTGCGTTAATTTTAAAACGCAGTTTTAGGTTACAAAATGACCTCCGAGTGCAAAGGGTTAATATTAATATCAATCGTACAAGCTATTCTTGTTATCACATAGAGAAACAGTTGATATAATGACATAATATGCTATTGCGTGATGCAAGGTAATCTCGTAGAGATAAAGAGGTGATTTATGTTTAAACCAGTAATTTGTTTACCATACGTTATAAAGTTCATGTAATGTCATATCAACAGCGACAAAATTACAAAATTAATTTTCATAGATAATCAATGTCCACTGGTTAGATAGAAGAAGCACTGAATATTAATGAAACATAAGAAATTTTGATTAAGGATATGGTTTTTATATGCTTGACATATTAGTGGAATAAAATAAGATTTGAATTCGGTATACTTTATTAATAATGAAAGTTTCAGTTTATCAGATCTTGTCTAAGAAGGATATATACTTTTATTCAAAATGAAAGTTGGACTACCATATGGTATCACTTATTAGATAAACAAGTAGTATATTTTTAGATGTTCAGATCTAAGAAGAACATGTACTTTCACTCTAAACATTTGATTTAAAAATAGAGATTTCATTTCGTTGCAGGGTAAAGTCTAAATAAATCACTATTCGGTAAGGTGATGGGTAACATTGCACAGACAGTTGAATTTAAGGAAAAAATATTTTACCCAAAGAGAGATTTAATTTTCATTAGAACGGCAAGTTCTAAAGCGGCGGTCAATCTAAATTATTGAATCTAAGAAAAGAAAAAGAAATAAAACGAGGAAGAGAAAAGGATCGAATATAGAAAGGCGAAAGATTATCATCGAACGAAGCAAGTTAATTAAAAAAAAAAAAGAAAAAGAAAGAGATACAAAACGCATACTTCATTCTCACGATTTCTCAAAATTGCACAAGAGGCATTTACCGTTAACCGGCAGCGGGTAGCATGTTACTGCTCCGAAACACTCGAATATTGAGCCACAGTGAGAGTGTATAATGCGATTAGCGATTAGTTAGAGCAGCAACTTGACACTAGACGGTTGTGAAAAGTGTATAATGTGAATGTGACGATTAAACGGAGTACGGTTTGAAACCCCTTCTGTTGTTACACGAACGTCAACTATGGTGGTCCGCTTTTTGTGCATCTCGCTGTAGGGAGAACAGAACGAGGGAGAGCGACAAACAGCAGCGCGCACATATAGGAGGGCATCGAAACGCGAGCGCGGGCGCACTCGTGACATCAGTCGTTCCCAGTGTAAGCGAGCGGCTAGGCGGTGTGCGGTGGCGTCGCGACGCCGGCGCAGTTCCCTCGATCGATTGCACGTTTCACTGGCCGTGTACTCGCGGGCTGGGGTGAGGAAATTAGTCGGACAGTGAGAAACAGCTAGAAAGAAGAGACGCGTGCGTGTAAGAAGAAGAAGAGCGAGCGAGAGGGTGAAGGAGCTGCGGAAAAGAGACAGTGGGAGTGAAGGAAAGAGAGTGCAGTAATAGAGAGACGAAAAGGGAGAGTCGGAGGAAGTATTGGTGCGCGCGTGTCTTTTGGCGACAACGCCAACATACTCTAACCGAACGTGTGGCAGGATCTGCAAAAGGTGACAGATTACGAGGAAGGTTTGTTCGAGCCTGAAAAAACTGCTCGGTTTCTTTGGGCTCTGTGCCTCCCCCGGTTAAAAATATTCAGGCGCACAGCGGTGCAGGATGACGGCGTTGCGGATTTAGAAGAGACAAACGTAACCTTCTCTCTCGCAAGCTGGACGCCGGGATCGGTCGTAATACAGTCTTCTTATCAGCCGGCTGACACTGGCCCGAAGACATGGATTACCGGTCTGCTGGCACCAGGTGCGAGGATGATTTCCTGGAGAACGACAAAGGAGTTAGTGCTGCGGTAAGGGATGCATCCTTCTATGTGTTTTCGATTGTGATCATTTCGTCTAGCTTTTAGGCTATCATGTGAACATCGACACCACAAACTTTTGCGCGATAACTATTGCCATTTCCTTCAATCCTCTTTTCGGCTAATTGTTGTTAACAATTTCGCATAATCACATGCGCCGCCAGTGTCTGATTTATTTTCTCCGTGAAATTGTCAGCTCTTTCTCTTGCCGCAGCGCTTTCAGGTAATAAAGATTACAACGAAGATTTGTGTCAGTCGTGACGATACGTTGCAAGGTTCTTATACGTCAAAACGAAACGACAAAAGAACGCAATTTGCTGACGATGTAAAATGTGACGTAAAGATGTAACGTTGAATTGCTAATCAAGAGGATTTTATCGAAGTTACGATAAAGGGTCGATAAAGAAAGTGATTTATTATCTTCGAGTGGTAGCCACGTGTCGAAAATGTTTCAGTAAGATTGATGCCGACCCTTAAATTATACTGTGCAATACTTGTAAGATCTATTAACCTAATTCTAGTTTTACTCGATTCTTTTTTCGTGTTTAATACACAGAAGTGATTAAACGTCGATGTTGCATGATACGTGTCGTGTTTCATTTAACGTGATTTCGCAGTTCACCGTAGAACGAGTATATACGAAAAGCATAGAGAAATTTCTTGATTCGAGAACGCAGTTACTCTATTTTTGGAGTTTGAATCGGGTTACTACATGTTTTTGAACTTCTAGCTTTACTCCGATGTTATCTGTTAGATCTGATCATCGATAAATGACACTATTGCGATGTACCGATACGTTATATCAAACTGAACCTATATGATATCATTGTTTCTTCATATTTTACGTAACTTTGTATCGATGTGCATTTCTCCTTTGTTCGTATTTAATCATCAGACGATGACTGCAATATTCTGTGTATTGTACATCAGATACCGTAAAGTTAATTAAAAATTTATCAAATTATACGTACATCTAGACAGAGAAAAGAAGTACTGCACGTGTGATGCTACTTGTGGCTGCAAAATGCATATCTAATTTAACAATGAGAATTACATGACGTTCTTAAACCAGGCATCTTACAGTAGTCTGGTTTCATTGAAAAGTAAATACACGATTGTCAGGTTTGCGTTGTTTCTTTTATAATATGTTATTTACGACTGTAATTTAATAATTTAATACAAACAAGTATCGATAGTATTACAAAATTAAAGTATCACCACGAAATTTGATATTATATGGCTATCAATTTCGTAAAGCAAATGTATATTTGATGAATAAAAAAAATGTATAAAATTACGATTTATTTATTTATTAATTTTTAAGGCTCAATTCTTAAACAATGTGAACTGTAAAATGTACAATAAAAGGTGCGGAAACATTTAACGATGGGCATAACATATTTCTGTATTTTCTGTAATTTTTGAAATGCTAAAATTTCCAACGATAAATTAGGCGAACATTCCTCTATAAAGTTCTGCGAAAGGGATGCGTAGCATATCATTTAACGTTGACCCAGCCACCTGTAACTTTGTCGATCAGATTTTCTTTTCCTTTCCCGCGTGCTCATTTAACCATGTAACAATGTAATGTAACAATGTAATAATGCGAATACTGCATACCTTGCCACGAGCTGAAAAATGTAAAAATAACAAGGGTAATGAAATAAAACGGCTGCGTAAAAGCAGCGCGCGTCCGTTTTATCGATATCTACACGGTAAAGCGAGAAAGACATAATGTCGACGCGTTGCTAAAAGATTCTTGAGATTCTTGGCATTCTTACTCTCGAGAGCTTTTCTTCGCTGATGTTTCAGAACGAGCATAAGGGCGCGTTGAAGCGTGGCGGCTCGCACACGCGCGGCACCGCAATGTCCTTTGGTTTTCGACGGAGACCGGCCTCCGGGATTCCGATGCCGATAACGAACTATACTACCGAGACGAGTCTGCTGCACCCGCGATCGAAATCGGCTGGTCCAGAACAAAACCGTAGACGCGACGACGACAACATCAACATGATTCATTCGTCTTCCGGCCGATCGACACCACGACTTGCACCACCGAAAAAAGAATCTAGCGGAATTGCCGTTAGGACGAATCGATTTGGTTACCGGCAGCCGCAAGCCAAATTCACCAATAAAGTTAGCGATATTTGCAGCAGTCATAGTGTAAGTCATTATAATCAAGAGAAATTACAACAACAACAACAACAACAGCAGGAGGGCTTTGTGAAGCAACCGCATAGGGTGGTTCAAGCCTCTAACGTGGCACAGGTGACGTCGAAAATGAAACAGCCACAAGCAATGCATAATTCAGTCACGTACAATAACACTAATGCTACGCATACAGATGGAAATCGCAAAGTATCTGGTATTCCAGAACCAATTGGCAGGTATACTCTGCACACCAGTCATCTGCCACTACCTCAGTACGCTGTAAGAATGACCGATGCAAATTCAAAGACCGCGAAAACCGCGGCGAATCAAAGCAGGAAAGTATCCGCGGCGTCGAAAAGTTCTGCCAGCTCGAAAGAAGGCTCGAGCACGGAAGATTCCGGCGTAGGAAGTCAGCAAGGTTGCCCCGGTGAAAACGATTCGAGGGGTGTGGACTATACGGATGGATCGTTAACAAGAAGGCGCGGTCTAGGTAAACCGAGGAATTTAAGAATGGTTGTAAACGGGAAAAGTTTCGACGTGAGGGATGTTAGGGATGACGATAGCACGGTTACCGAGATATCCGTTATACCTTTGCCAAAAACGTTCACCGCAGCCACCACTGGATTAGTGCGAGAAAGAGCCACTCAGTATCAAAGAAACGTGAACAAGGACAATAGGTATACCGAATCTACGACATCCATGTCAACCACATCTTCGGAGGGCTACGACGAGGGATTAGGCGAGGAGAAGGTTTACAAAGATAGATCACATTCGGAAAAAATTCCTTCTATCAAGTCAGACTTCAGTCCGCCGAGCTCTGATGACCCTGAATATGGCCATGGAGAAGCTATGGCTGACGAATATTCGTTAAGCTCCAGTGACGAATGTCAACGCTCCAGTACTCTGCAACATTTACAGAATTCGTCGAACACAGCTAAGAACGGAACGCTGCCGAAAACTACTCTGCGCTCGGTACTTCTTTCCATCGAAGATCCTGCGTTCGCCGCGGCTGCGGCTACTTCAACTACATTGATAGATGACGAAACGTCGCCTGTTGATAGTCTTTTTGACAGTCTTACAGCCAGTATTACTCAATCGGACGCTAAAGCCCCAAAGAAAGAGAATGTGATGCAACAGTCGGGAAATACTATCGACGATGATAGTCCTGGAACGCCAACGAACGCCTCGAATTCGTTAAGTTTGTCGGAGGGCAGAGAATTCTTCGACGACGAGATCGCTGATCAACCTGGGCTTGTTTTTGATGACAATTCAAAAGCTGCTGAGACACAGTCTGCCGTAACTAGTCAGGTCGTCACCGAGAACAGTCATACGTTGATCGAATCCAGTCCTAAGACAGGTAAACATTATTTATCAACTTTTTATCGTTTCTGATAATCTACGACAATAATAATTAAAGTTGTTTGTTTTAAAAATTGTAATGTATCGATATCAAATAATTAGGTGGTATTCGGAAACGTAACTTACCTTTGAATAATATAATGTTGCAATTTCAATTGAATAACGTAAAGTCGAGTGTATTATTTGTGTATTTAAAGTACATTGCGATATTTACAAACCGTACATTTTTCCAGGTGTAGGACATGAAAAAACCGCAACTAACAGCCCTCATCATGGCAAACGAATCAGTCGAGCTGGCAGCATCGACACTTTATCACCTTGTGAATCCATTGCTTCTGATGATTTAATACTGGATTATGAACAGAGCGATGCAAGTTCCTACGAGGAACAGCAGCATCGGTTAGTATTTCATTCTCCAACTGTAAAATGTTGTTTTGTGTATTTTCATTTGATTATACACTTCCGGTATGTTTGCTATTTTTAATAACAGAAAAAATGTTTGAAACAAGTTGTTTGGTGCAGTAGTGAAAATCTTTTCCTTTAAGATTTCAAAATCAGCGACTTTTACTATTCAAAATTTATCCTTTGCTTTCATCTTATTCTTGGAAAATGTTTATCAATCAGACGACTTGTTTTTTAAATCAATTCTTGTATATTGATAATGACAATGTAGACGCCATAGGTACAAGAATTAGATTAAATGCTTGATTCGTTTGTTTTCAAATAATGTTTTATAACTTCAAGAGAATCTCCAGAAGTTATGAAAAGTATTGATCTTGTGTATGTATACTTCTTGTTATAGTATTGAGATCAATGTTATGTATTTTAGAGTGGAGACAAGCACGGCCTTGCAAGATATGGATAACGCTACAATTCTCTCCGAATTGGAAGCCAAGGGTGAAGAAGTAATGAGGCAATGGACTTCCTTATTGGGTACATGTCAAACGCAGCAACATACTACTAATAACTCGAATACAATTAACAACAACGTGAACGCTGGATCAGGCAATAATAATAATCAGCCAGGCAACGAAATAGGGTGTGTATTTAAAGCTTTTGTATTGCTTCTGAGATTATTAACTGCTTTTTACTGCTCATGGTTTAAAATAACGCATGATGTTACGATAGATATAATCGCATTACGAACAATAATATATTAAAATGATCTTTTAGGTAAAATTTACATAATATTAATTTTCTTTTTATTTATTTTATCTTGACTATAGATCAGTGTCTCTACTATTATTGATGTTAATGTATTTCAAGGAACGCATAACCTTTTTGTAGCTTAAAAATGCTTCTTCTTGTTATGTTGTACATATTTATGTTATATGTTGATTGGCAGTATGTTATTCTATATGTTAATACGTCTTTACTATATGTAATAAGTAGGAATATATGAAGAGCCATGTTTTGTCATTGAATCGATATACTATTTGTATATTCAGTCATATCAGAATGATATTAAAAGGCTATTTAACTACCGGATAATATATTTTATTATTTATTTCATTAATATATATCAATTTTACCGGAGAATATATTTTGTATATAAGAAGGATCTGAGACAATTTTGATTCACAAATTTACAAGATATACTTAAGATTATGTTTCTATATTAGGAAACTATGTAAATTCTATTTGAAAATGTAGTACTTCAAAGTAGCATTTATGTATGAAGAGAAAAGAAATTATAATTAGGTATATTTGTTTGTATATACAAATACGTTAAAATTAACGCAGTTCAGTTTTTTCATGAAATATAAATAAGTAGATGTCTAGTTTCATTTATTCTTGAGAACATTGGAAAAGAGTATTTATTACAAAGAAAAACAAAATGCTAATGAATATAGTTTTTATAAAATATAAAAACAATAAACACTGTTTCTCTTAGAAGAACATCATTTTTTAATTTCTAGGATGTGTAAGGTAAGTCGCGTAAAAATCTATGTATATGAAAGTAACAAAACTGCGAATATTCGTTAATCTTTCTAAGTATATACTTCATAAAAATTATGTTATATAATTTTTACAATATATATTTTTCTTTTTTAAATTAACCATTTGGCTTGGAATTTAGTAAACGACTATACGAGTCCATTCATTCTAATTTTTCGTTTTTAAGAGAGAACATTGATAAGGTAATACCACGAAATGAATATATCTAATAACAACATGAGAAGAATAAATAAAACCGTTATCAAAGTAGAAAAATCAAACTGCAAGTTGAAAACCCGTGTGTGTTCGCACACATACACACATGCACACATTTCTTATTCAATGACATATTTAACAGTGATAAATAAATTCTTTTTATATTTTTATGTCTATACCTTGAAGGTTTAATGTTTAGAAAGTGTAAAACTAGTATTACTAAAAACTGTTTTGATTTATGTTATATACTTTTCAATCTACAACTTTGATATATAAAATCTAAAATTTGAGAAGACATTTATTCTTATTAACATTTTTTTATTAAATATGTTTATAAAAAGCATATATGAGTAAATATTGAACACATGGTAGCTAAAACAATATACTTACTTTAGTATGATATATTTTACTTAATATTGTGTTTCACTTTGTTATTATTATTCATTTTGATAATAGTAATTATTATTACTTCTTCTATTTTGATACCAGATGTAGTTACCTAAATTTCTACATTTCTTAAAATTGATTGGTTGCATGGAACACTTATGACATTATGATTAACTTTTAACTTGTGGTTTGTTCATTTTTCATTTAATGTCTTTCATAGTTTTTCTTTATTACATTATTAAAGTATACGTAAAAAGTATGCAGGATAGTTGAAATTTATTTTTTAATTTTGCAAGTATTTGACACAGTGATTCTATAGTTAATTTGTACTTGTACCTTTTTGTCACGAATAAAGGAATAGCATTTTTTATTAATCAATATTTGAAAACAATTTGCAAGTATCTCATACATAAGTTATTGTTTCTCTGATTTAACGTATCTTGATGTAAAAAGTAATTCAATATTTTTTATATTATTGGCTGTATCACTTCTAATGCATGATATAGTTTTGAGCATGCTTTGAATTTTATAATTTACAAACTATATAATGGTATATAAATTTTTCATGACTTTTTCATTCAAATATTGGAATATAAAATGATATAATTTTAAAGAACAACTATTGCTGGTACTACTACACTAAAGAGTTTAAAAAATATTAATTAGTTCAATAATATTTATTATTTGTCTTTATTTTGTACTTTTCCAAAAGTGTATCATATTTTTATTTATTTAATAAAAATAGTTTTCTTATAATGCATACAGTGGTGGACAAAAATATTGGTACAGCATACGATTTAGTATATGAACATTTATATCTACTGAAAAAGTTGCTCATATCTCCTTTTTCTACCTTTACTCTTTATTCTACATACAAAAACAAAACTACCTGAACAAAGCAGATAACACATAACACGTAAAGCTGTATTTACATATACTGTACTATCTCGCAAAAAACGAAAAATAATTACAATAATTAAACAAGTTCCAAAAACAAGGTCGTTAGAAATTGCATTGAAAAAGATATTAGCTCGAAAATAGTGCACAGAGTATTTAACAATGTTGGGTATTCTACATGTGTAATTAAAAAAAAACCTTAATCTATAAAGCTAACGAAAAGGATAGAGTCGAATTAGCAAAAGAATTCTCAAACAAAACCATTGAAATTTGTGCTATCCTCAAATGAAAGTAAATTTCATATATTTAAATCAAATGGACAAATATTAGTATGGAGAAAAAGTAACACTGACATAGATTTAAAAAATCTGCATCCTACATGGTGAAGGATCACATTTTTACGCTTGAGGAATTGGTGTTTATTTATGGAGCAGTAAATACAGGAACATATTTAAATATTTTAACCCCTTAACATTCACATTTTTCTCAACTTGATGTGCCAAAAATGATCAACTGTATTTTCTAATTATTTCTTAGGCGTATAGAAATAAGTTTCCCGTTATTTGTAATGTTGCAACTCGTATTTTTGTCATGATAGAAAGGATAACGCAGTATGGAAAATGAGAGAAAATAGTTAAACAAAATTGCATTGATTAGACGATTAGTTGTGCGTGTGTGAGACACGGGTTAAGTGGTTAAAAGAAAATTTGAAGAAGAGTGCAGAAAAATGAAATTTACCATACAATTTTGATCTTTTATTTGATATTGCCGCATATGGTAGGGTAAATGTACGTACTATCACCTACCACGTAATATCGTCCCTCGTAACATTTCGTAAACAAAATGCTGAAATATGTTGGTGATAAAAGTGTATGGCCAGAAATGTATAGGAACGTGTAGGGGAGGAGAAGTTTTTTGGTGAATTTTGTTAGTGAAAACATTTATTGAATTGTGATAATTTAAGATCACATTAGGAGAAGATAGTTTTAAAGCTTCTATGAATGCAACTTTTGTTAACGAAAACGGTGTTTTCGTATATTTAAAATTAAAAATAAATTTTGTATATTTGAAATTAAAAAATATTAAAAGTATGAAATTACACTGGTTCAGTATTTAAATATGTCATTATTAAAAACACGCCAATATGTACTGTTGCACAGGCACAAGATGATTGTATAATACATTTTTATCAGTTGTGTTTCGTATATTTTGTTTATGTTCTATTTTTGTTTTTAAACAAGTAAGGTATGCGAGAATAAAGAACAGTTTTTTTTAATAATTATAAATGTTTAAACGCTAAATCGCGTGCTGTGCCAATACTATTGTCCGCCACTGCATTAATAAATCTTTGTGAAATATGCCAGAATTTGTGAAATGCAGGAGACACTATTATTCTGTGACGGGTAAAGCTATATCTCATCCGTTTAAAACTACCGTCTGCATTTCCGACATGCGGACTTCTGTTTAAGCAAGATATCACACTCGACAGAACATTTATTCCGAAATCAATAACTTCATAGAAATTACTCGCACGTGTACAAATGAAACGAATGGCAAAGACGTTTTGGTAACAAAAATACAATATGTCTGTTAAAGGAGTACACTATTTTATTTGCCTGGTCAAGTCATACGCAGTATTACCAATTACTGTTAAATAATAAAAATAAAAAATATTTATTGAAACAATGCACACGTGCTGTTTTACTATTACACGTTTGAAATGACTACGTATATGCGTTGCATATGAATCGTAATTCATACAAAGGGAGATTTTATAGGTTTTCATTTTTTTTTGTAGTGAATTAAAATATTTGTATTCGTATAGGGGAATACTAGGTTTAGATGTTTCATGAAACGTATCGTTCATTTTTCATAATTTATTGTTGAGAAGGTTATTCTTATGCAGTTTATTTGGATTCTACATTGTAGAATAATAGATAAAAGCATTTTAAGTAATAACAGTTGTTGAATTTATCACTGTGCATTACAATTTCTTAATGTCTTCGCAAAAGTAGTATAATTAGATCGTTTGGTAGTTTATTGAATAAAGTACACAAATTATAAATAGTTAATCAATAGAATAGTACATAGATTAAAATGAAAGAAATCAAATCTTACAATGAATGAAATTTTATAATCATCGGTAAAATGAAAATTATAGAATGACATAGATAATAGAGTTTCCATAATTCTGCAGAAAATGAAACAAATATGTTTAAACTAATAATTTGAACAATTGATTACGTTAATTCTAGGTTACATTAGCAAAATATCGTTAACATTAGTAATGTAACGCTATTTCAAGTATTTCTGACTAATTACTTTAAATCTTTTTTTTGTCTCAATGATCCTTTTGACAATTTACATTTGAATTTTGCGCACTTTTGCGCGTGACTTATTTTCCATCCCCACTCCGTGGTTACCTTCTCCCCCATTCGCTGACTCAGATGGGTGTCATGGCGCCGCCGGTGACTTGAGCTTGAAACGCGGAACGCGATTGTTACTACTGTTAGTAACGCGTGTGCGCTCCTATGTAGTATACGTTTTAGTTGTTGATTTTTAGTTGTATCGCGTTATCGTTTTCTTCCATTATCCGGTAAC